TATTTAGAAATAACAATAGTAGTAATATTATACATAGTAGGGCTTTAATTACTCCAGTAAAAAAATTGCAAAAAGGCAATTAAGGTAAAGGGTTTGGTTGAGAAGGTGAAGAAGAATTAGAAGACGGAGGACAGAAAGGAAGAGTGCCCAGATATCAGTGTACACTGGAGACCATGTAGCAGTCCCCTGCTGGAGAGAAAAGGAAATACGGCACTATATGCAAGCGAACTAAAGCCTGCGTAGAAGGTGCAAACAGGATGTTCTGATCTCCAGGAATCTGGAGAATTAGAAGATATGTAAACGCTAAGCCAGAGAACAATGGAAGCAATATCCATGCTTCTCTCCTTACCCATCTCCTCTTTCTGGAGGACATTTCTCATGAACTGTCTCAGCTGGAATTCAAGTAATGTTGCACTTGCCTTTCTAGTGTGTAATTACTACTCCTCAAGCTCTTTCTCATTTGACTTTAGAAGTCCACAAAGTCCCTGACATATTGGCAAATAAAGGTCTGTTTCCTGACAAAGTACCCACCACTCAGTAGCTGCAACTAGTCTTCAGAGGTAGAAATGGCTTCTTCCTTTTCGACCTAAAGAATGCCCAGCACAGACACTCTTTCAATCAGACTGTCAGCCACAGGTTTTCATGAACCAGAGCTGAAAATACTAATTCCCACTCCACCTCCTCTGGTTATAAGCACAAGTTCCAGTCAACTGACATGTTCATGGAAGATGCTAATGACCACATTGGACTTATTTTTGTGAAAAGTGTTGCAGACAAATGTCATGTTTATAAACATACTTGTTGATTTTCCAGTGCCATATTTCATTTCAGGTAATAATTTTGATAAGAAATGGTAAGAAGGAGACTCTCCATCCCTTTTGACAAGACAAAAGCTTAGTTTAGGGTGGTTATGGAAAGGCTAATATCTAGTGTCGATGGATTCCTTTGCATATCAACTATGTACACTTTTACAGTCTGGGAAAAATATCTCCTAACCATTCATAAATTTTTTGTTTCCTTATCCTCTTGTTTCAGGATTATATTCATGGTAAATACAACTCAGAATGAGGTAGACTCTCTGTATTTGATATCAAATTTATAAACAGAGAATATCCAAGGTATATTCCTCAGATTTTCCTACAGCATGTGAGACTTTTATTTTACTAATGTCTTTAACTTCTATTATTTTTATTTTTTTATTTAAGTAGAAAAAGAAAAAGGGAACAAGTAATACAAAATTTAAAAAATAAACAGTAAAAAATCACTAGTTACTAGATTACATATTCTCATCTTAGAAATAGTTGCTCAAGTCACAAAATTGAAGCACACAAAGTAGACCTTCAAACAGTGAGAGTGCAAAGAGTTTTGCTCAATGATCCAAAAAAACTCAGCAACATGATTATCTATCCTATACACTTAAACATATATGCAGTTATAAACTTTAGAGCACTTTCTTTTCTTTTCTTTTGTACAATGACAATTACACATTTTGGGTTTTATTACTCCCATAGTTCTTATTACTTTCTTTGAAGAGAGTAAAACCAAATGCGACATATCAGAACAGAGTCAGTCAAATCAAAAGGATGGACATAATACATAATGTAAAAACAAAATATAAGGTGATTAACAATGGTTACCATATTGCCTCTTGCTATTTTAAGAAGAATTGCCAGTTATAATAAAATTGAACAAAACAGTAAAGAATAAAACCAAAGCACTGGAGACATTACAGGACTTTAAAAGCAGATAATAGTCAACCTGAATGGGCGTCATAATGAATCTTATTGTCTTCACACTTTTGCCTATACTTTCAAACTTGGTACTATCAAGCAAAGCAGAATAGGGCAAAATCAGTCAAAACAAGATGGTGAGGGCAATACAGGATTTCAAGTCAAGTTAATAGGAAATGAAAATAGGTTACTATAATGTATCCTGCTATTTTTTATTTATTTTTCCCTTAATTCAAAAAATAAAAAGAACAAATAAATAATTTAAAAAAGGGATTGAGATAAAAGAGAGCATAACAACAAAACAGGGCAGGTCAAAACATAACCATTTAAGCAAAATAGTGTTTCACCACAAGATATCCTGATGTAAAAATAGTTACCATAGTGTCTCTTTCCTTGAAATCTTTGAGTATAACTTCGTATACTGTAGCACCAAACATATCAAGACACTTTAAAACCATTCAAGAGAATGACATTGTTACAGGGTATTTAGAACTTATTAACAGAAAATGAACAATGGTTTCTGTATAATCTCCTTGTCTATAAAAGTTTTTACTTATATTATCATATATAATAAAATCCAATAAGATACAACCTTTTAAGACCAATGGAGACAGAAAAATACATGTTTGATGGGACTTCAAAACAAGATGATACTAAATCAGCACTAGCTATTATGATGTCTTGTTTTCTCCAAAATAGCTGTTCCTATCATCTAATCTTCTCTGCCTCATTTCTGTTGAGATCTTTTTCTATCATTTGTTGTCAGTTTGTCTTCTTCATTTTGCTTTCTGCTCCATTCATTGTGGCCTCTCTGCTACTATTTCTGGAATCTTGATATTTTCCTTTTTTAGAGTATCCTGCAGTATTCTCTGTAGAGTTGAATTGGTGGTTGAAAATTCCCCCAGTTCCTCTTTATCCTGGAAGCACCTTGTTTTTCCATCAATTTCTAGGGACAGTTGTGCAGGATATATCAATTTTGGCTGGAGGTTATTATCTTTGAAAGCTTGAATTATTTCCCCCCCACACACACATTCTTCGTGATTTGATGGTTTGTGCCAAGAAGTCTGCTGTAAATCTGATGGGTGTTCTTTTGTAAGTGATCTGTTTCTTGTCTCTGATGGCTTGTAATATTCTGTTCTTATATTGGATTTCTGGAATTTTGATTATTATATGCCTGGGTGTAGCTCTGTTTGGGTTGTAGGTGGCTGGGGTCCTGTATGCCTCATACATCTGAGTATCTTTACCATTTGCTAAATTAGGGAAATTTTCTTGGATTATTTCTGTGAATAGCTTTTGTAGTCCATTTGTTTGTGTCCCTACTTCTTCTTTTATGTTCTTAATTCTTAAATTATAGATCCTCTTATCATCTTCTAGCCTTTGTATTGTTGCTGCTTGTTTTTTTGTTATTTTTAAGAAGTTTTCATTTCATGCTCCCATATTACAAATCTGCTCTCCAGTTCAGATAATCTGTTTCTTTCAGATAATCACTTTCTGTCAGATAATCAGTTTCTTTCAAGCTGTTATGCAAGTTTTCTATAGAGTTTTTAGTTTCCTGGTAATCTCTCTGAACCTGCTTCACGTATTCTATGTTTTTTCTATTTTCTCCATCAAACAATTCTCCCCTTTTTTTCTGTCCTTCCATTCCTCCATCTGTTCTTTCTTGGGTGGTGCTTAGCATTTCTGTAACTATTCTACGTATATCTTGCTTCACATCATGAATAACTTCATTCCTGAACTCGTCTATGAGGCTCTGGAAATAGTGCTTTATGTTTATTGGTGCCATGTCCAATATTGCATGTTTCTCAGGATTAGGGACTGAGGACCCTTTCTTGTTGCTCCCTCTTCCCATATTTTCTGCTCCTTTTTACAAGTGTATGTAGGAGGCCCAGTTTCTGTCTTTGTCAGTTACAGCTTGTTTGAATTGTTCCCACCCACTGCAGTGTGCTAGGGAGACACAGACCTGGGCAGTCTCTGCTGGGACCGCTCCTCCAGGTCAACCTACCAAAGCCTTCACTGCTAGGATGCACCTCCAGGTGCTGGGACCTGGTTTGGGCTAGCCTACTGGGTCTTAGTCAGTGGCGTCACACAGGCCAGGTACTCCCCACCAATCCTGCTTGAAAGGGGAATATGTGACTGAAGTCACTGCAGCATCTTGTCCCGGCCAGCCCACCTGGTCCCAGTATGCCCTTTGCTGAAGCCTCCTACTCTATGGAAGGGTCCCTGATCCGCTCACTCACCACAAGTCAATGCAGAGCTCCCAGCCAGGCCCGCTCTCAACTCCATTCACCATTTCCCACTCTCAGAGCTTTCACGCCTCTCTCCTTGCCATGCCTATTGGGATGTAGCAGTGGCTGCAGGAAATTCAAATTGCAGCCTCCAGTGGTGCAGGGTCCAGCTTCCGTGCTGAGACCTTATTCTGTTCCTTTTATATCACCAGGATTGTGTTTCCAGTTGGTTTCTCTTAGTTTAGTTTGTTCCTGGGTCAGCAAAGTATATCTCCCCTTGCTTAGGATTTCTCGCCCAGCATCATTCCTGGATTTTAAGTGCAGTTTCTCAGAGAGCCTCTGAAACTGCTGCTATCTATCTGCCATGTTCTCCCGCAAGGCTGGCAATTTAGCTCAGTGGTGTAAGCACCTGCTGGCTCCTGCTCCAGCCCAGGGCTCCACTTGCCACAGCTGGATTGAGACTCTGGGATCAGCTGCTGCAGCCCCTAGTGCCACCACACAATATGGTGTCATGGTTTATGTTTGTGTCCCCCAGGCCTCACGAGTTTGCATTGTTCATTTGTGATGGTTCATTGTATAGTGCTTGGATTGATGGTGTCAGTGCTCCACCCATATAGGGGTGGAGCCAGGATGTGATGTAATGGCAGGAAGAAGGTGTGTTTTTCTCTTTGCTGGTTCCAGTTTGCTGCTGGCTGCCGCCATGAACTGCAGCCCAGCCATGCCTGCCTGTCTTGGAGACAACTGAGTGTGGACTGAAACCTCCAAAAACTGTAAGAAATAAACCTTTCCTTTCCCAACTTTGGGCTTCAGGTATTTTGTCTCAGCGACGAGCATAAAGTAACTAAGACATATGGTGAGCCTCGGCTTCTGCAATGGAGCTCGGGAAATACAACAGGGGCCGCTCAATATTCATGAGAGACTGAGGGGAACCCGGCTAGCCCAGCGCTGCGGGGAGGGCAGGAAGGAGTGAGTGAGTAGGCAGGGGCGCGGGATGGGGACGTGCATGATGAGGGGAGGCCCGCCATCTTACAAAAACATAATCTTTGCATAGTAGAGTTGCACTTTCTTTTTCTGCTAGTAAGAAATCACAAACATGTTTTACATGTGAAAAAAAGCACATATTTTAAATGCATTTATATAGTTATTTCTTGATAAGTCTGTTCTGTTTTACCCAAATTTTAGTGATCACAAAGTAAAGTGTTGAGGAGTATTCCTTGAAATATCAGAAGAATCCAAAAACTAACTGAAGAATGGAATGGGAGGAGTCTCTGATCTGAGGGAATTTGTAGCTGCTCTTGGTGAGTGTCAAATCCAGAAAAATAGTCTTGAAATCAACATGTTCATGGAAGATTATTTGAACATGATAGGTGATTAATTTTCTTTTCATCACTTATTCATGTGGCTTAGTGATACCTTATAGCATATTTAGCTTTACATTAATAGGAAGATACCTCTTACTCAAAACCTTCTACCCAATATATGTCAGTAGAGGGCCCACCCTTAATGCTCCACAGGATGTTGTATACTACTTATATCTGAGACTTACTTGGAAAAATATTGCTTTAACTATTGTAGAAAGGAAAACCAAGGATATCTGTGACATTTGTTACCTGGCAAATGTGTAAACTCTTGTAACAATCGCTATAGCAACAACAGAGTAATTACTTTTAAATTTTAAAAGGTGCTTTGTTGACATCATTTGAAGTGTCTTCCATTAAGTCTATATCAACAAACCATGGCTAGTTTGATTCTCTAATAAGAGGTTTTTTAAATAAAAGAAAGACAGCTTTAATTATTCACTTAAAATCTCAGAATAATGTAAGCACATAAAGAAAATATTTTCTCATTCAGTTAAGGAATGATTGGCAACCATTATCACTTTTGTATTTCTCACATAAAATGGTGCTTCTGCCACTTATTTTCATTATTTTATTAGAGCTATACAGATTTCTTATGAAAATGATTTCCTAGAATATTTTTTGTGATAAGACTGAATTGACATCCCAAAGAGATCTCAGAGTACATTGTTTATATTCCTGAGCCATTTTTGTAGTTAAGTTCAATTAGCATATATTAAAAGGTACTTAGTACTTTTATACATCAGGCTTTGTGAAACATTCAACTTTCAAATAGCTATATTCCATGGGTGCTCCTTATTTTCATCTCAGTCAAATAAGCCAGCTCCTTATTATGAATTTGAATTATAGTACTGGGTGTGTTTCCTGTTACACCACATAAATAGTTCTAAATAATAAAATGTGTAAAAATTACAGTGCTGGTAGTGCACCCATCAGTTTTCCCTTCAGTTTGAAGGAGGAAAGAAAGAATGTTTTTCCTATAGTCGAGAAGTAAGGGAATGATGTCTAGAAGAGTGAAAAAATACATGTAGCTTACAAAAAAATAGTAGTATAACAAGGACGAATTAACCTACTTATAAAGACATTAAAACACTGGCAATTTTGTAAATCACCTGAATAATGATGTATAGCCTGCATTTTTTGCATAGAATCTTTCACATTTTAGTGAGACCCTCAGAAATGTTGTCGGTAGCTGCTGGTCAGTGCAGAGGCAGCCTGTAGTCATGGGAGTCCCTGAGGCTTGGATGCTCAGGTGGCCCAACAGCTGAATGGGATCCTGTGCTTTTGCAATATCCTACTGCTTTTGTATTGACTTCAGGACACTCTGAGCTGCTCCTCATTTTAAGTAAATTTCCCCTAATAACTATTAACTTCAGCTTACACAGGCAATCATTTTGGAAAACTAATTGGCAAATCTGTAACATAATTAATAACAAATGCAATTTTGTTTACTTTGAAAGGTCTTCTGGAAAATATTTTTTAAATTCTGTATTAAATATGATATGATATTTGTTACATTTTTATAGATAATGATGAATAATTAGGTAATTTAAAAAACTCTGAACAACCAAAATTTTGTATTGTGAATATGGAATTTGTAGAAGTTAGAAAATCCTATGGAGTGTGCTTTTAAAAATCCATTAGAATACCTCACAAGAGTTTCAAAAATTCAAGACAGATGATACATTTTGAAACTCTGAAGTAGTTATTTCAAGCTATAAAGAGACATCATTAAATATAAATGTGATTAAAACATTTTTATTTGCTTAGTTGCTTTGTGAGTACTTACATTCTGCTAACAACTAAAATGGTCATAAAAATCATTTAAGGGCATAAATTGCAGACAACTTTTTACAATGCATTTAGCATCTGACCCATAATACTGAGTAATTGTGTGTCTTATTTTATGAAAAATTAGCTAACCAAGTTAGTTTAGTATATTGATAGCACTTGTTTACCCTTCTTAAATAGATCTCTGTTTTTACTATACCTAGAATATCCTATGTGGAAATAACCTAAAACACATAAGGCCAACAGTTAAACAAGGTAGCAGAGTTTTGTCTTTCCAATTGAGGCTTTTTGCTTGAAATTCTTTGTGTTTTCTCTATCTACAATGTGTACTCCATAATCAAAACTGCCTGCTCCCACTGAGTTTGCCTATATCAAGTAAAGCTAATGACAATTGAAAATAATTTTACCTCTGGGTATGAACATAGGTGAGTTAAATATAGATACAGGTAAATTTAGATATAGATAAAACAGGTCCCCCAAAGCCTCATGGACCTAGAGGCAGGACTTTTGGGAGTTGACTGGATCAGGGGATACTGTAGTCACAAGTGATTTGTTCATTGATGGATTTGTTGAAAAACGCTGTGTCAGAGCTGCGGTTGCTATGAAGCAAAGTATCACTGAGTGTGACCTGGAAGAATATTCTCAGTTCCTCCTTTTTCTCTTTCTGCTTCCTGGACACCAAGGGCTGAGCAATTTTTCTCTTCTATTTCCTTTCTCTGTGCCATTTCTGCTTTAGAGCCAGCTGACTGAGGACTGGACCTTCTAAAACGTGAGCCAAATACACTTTTCAGTTTTAGGTGTTTTGCCCCCCATATGTAGTCTAAAGGGTATATATGTTGTTTTCAAGTCTCATGTGACACAATAAAGATATTTAATAAGGCTTCTTGATGTCGAGACAAGGTCATGTTGTGCTGCCCAGGCTGGTTTGTGTCTCATGATCCTCCTGCCTTAGCTTCCAAGTATCTGTGGTTACAGACACACAGACACTGGACTAGGTTTCTAATCAGGATTTTGATAGAAGCAGCTATTGTAGAGATCAGGCAGCTAAGTAATGTTGAAATTAGAAGAGATACAAACTCAAAAACTCCTTGTAGTTATCTATGTAAAGAGTTTACAGACACACACACACACACACACACACACACACACACACACACACCAAAGGCCAATATCCAAGGCTGAGAAGAGCCATTTCAACAGATAAAGTAGCTGAATATTGTGGCTGAAATATATAGGGAGGGTCATGGGCAATAAAACCAGGCACACAGATACAAGTCAAATATAGTAAATATAGGCTGCAGACAATATTTGAATTTAATTTTTAATGAAATATTTTATAAGAAATATTTTATATTTTATAACATTTTATTAGAATCATAGAAATGATGAAAATGAATTGAGAAGAATGAACAGCTAAATCATTGATAGTAGTCGAGCTACATATAACAATGTATCAATAGAAGTGGATAAAAGTTCATACCTAGGATATATTTTGAAGGTAAAGCTAATAGAATTTGTCTAAGGACAAATGGGAAGTTTAAAAAAACAAAGCAATCAAGAATGACATTTTGGTAACTATGTATGGCGGCTCACACTTGTAATTTCAGTGCTGTGGGAAGGCAGGGAGGAGAATTGTAACCTGGTGACTTAGTGAGACCCATTTTCTGGATAGACAGACTAGATCGATAGATAGACAGACAGCAACAGATATACCTCATTGAGAAGGCACTGGGTTCAGTCACTAGTAACACACACATCCCACACACACACAGACACACACACACACACATGTGGAAAAGAATAAATTTTTTTTATTTCAAGAAATATTAAACAAAACAAAATAGGTAGAAATAGTACATACATTCAGAGAAAAAAAGGGTAAGAAATCACTAGTTGATGTCGTTTTACAAATAGCTGTTCAAGGTACAAAAATGGAACATGTAAAGTGGGAATTCAAACAGAGACTGAAAAAAGTTCTAATCAACTGTCCAACAAAAACTTAGTAACATGGTTTCAATCTTATACATGTAAACATACATGCAGTTACCCATATCTTCATTTATGTTTAGATTAAACAACCTAAAGCAGGTTAAAATCATTTTGAACAAAGAATAATAGTATTGCTGGATTTTACTTCATGACACTCCATGATCAGCACTGGGTACTGTAGTGTCTTCTTTTTAAAACTGAATTTAAAGAAAGACTAAAAAAACAAAAAACGGGTAGAAATAATACATAATTTCAAAGAAAAATAAACAGTAAGAAATCACTAGTTGATGATTACAGATTGTCTTCTTACAAATAGTTATTTAAGATACTAAATTGGAGCATATAAAGTGGGAATTCAAACAGTGAGATTGTAACTAGTTCTGTTCAACTATCCAACAAAAACTTAGAAATATGGCTATCAATCCTCTACACTTAAACATATATGCAGTTACCCATATCTTCAATTATGTTGACTTTGAATAAACCCAAGCAGGCTAATATCACTCTGAACAAAGAATAACACTATTGCTGGGTTTCACATTATGCACCCCAGGATCAGCACTGGCTATTTTAGTGTCTCCTTTTCTTCAAAGTATGTGTTCATTTCATCAATTGTCATAAGATCAGTACTCATAAACTGTTTATAGATTTTACACATGGATGGGTCTTAACATGTATTTTTTTAAAATTTTGAAAGTAGCAAAATTTTGAAAGTAGCAACAGCGCAAGACAGAACAAAGCCAATCGAGACAATGCAGTGAAATTGGTACAGGATTTCACAGTAGGATACTGGGATAGTACTAAGTACTATGGTATATCTCTTTAATTTAACAATAGCTATCCAGTCAATTAAGTATTGTAAAATCAAACCAAAAATAGAACATTGTAAAATCAATTCAGAATACTGAATAGAGCAAAAGAAATATAACAAAAAGTGAAAAAAAAACCTATGCCTTCAAACAAAAGATAGAAGGAAATCCCCCATATTTGCTATACTGTATATGGTAATCCTGGCAAGAGATGTTGAAATATCTATCCCCAGTAGGTAAGGGGGTAGAGGGCAGGTGGGAGAAGGGTATTTGATTTTCAGCTTGCGCGGAAGTTGGCACACAGGTAATGGTTCTTCTCCAGGCCCAAGCTGCAGGTGCTTACCAAGAAGGCGGTGAATAAGCTGCCTGAGTCCTTCCATTGCTGGATCTCTGAAGCTCTGTTCTCCTCCTGGCCTGCATTGCAGATGCTTACAAAGGGGGGGGGGTGGTGAATAAGCTGCCTGAATCCCTCCATGGCTGGAAATCTGGAGCTCTGTCCTCCTCCTGGCCCGCATTGCAGATAATCTGCTTGAATTCCTACATGGCAGGATGTTCTCTTCCTGGATGGCATTGCAGATGCTTACCAAGAGGGCAGGTGAATGAGCTGCCTGAATCCCTCCATGGCAGGAGCTCTGGATCTCTGTTCTCTTCCTGGCTGGCTTTGCAGACACTTACAAAGAAGGTGGGTGAATAAGCTGCTTGAATCACTCCATGGGCGGAACTCTGGAGCTCTGTTCTCCTCCTGGCCCAAGTTACAGACACTTACCAAGAGAGGGGGTGAATATGCTTCCTGAATCCCTCCATGACAGGAGCTCTGGAGCTATGTTCTCTTCCTGGCCCCTGTTACAGACAGTTACGGGGTGGGGGGGTGGTAATAATCTGCCTGAATCCCTCCATGGCCAGAACTCTGGAGCTCTGTTCTCTTCTAAGCTGCCTGAATCTCTCCGTGGCTGTAACTCTGGAGCTCTGTTCTCTTCCTGGCCCTTGTTACAGACACTTACCAAGAGGGTGGGTGAATAAGCTGCCTAAATCCCTCCGTAGCCAGAACTGTGGAGCTCCATACTCTTCCTGGCCCATGTTGCAGAGCCTTCCCAAGGGGCGGAGTGAATAATCTGCCTGAATCCCTCCATGGCAGGAGCTTGGAGCTCTGTTCTCTTCCTGGGCGGCTTTGCAGATGTTTACCAAATGGTGGGTGAATAAGCTCCCTAAATCCCTCCATGACAGGAGCTCTGGTGCTCTGTTTTCCTGGCCCCTGTTACAGACACATACCAAGAGGGCGGGTGAATAATCTGCCTGAATCCCTCTATGGCCAGAACACTGGAGCTCTGTTCTCCTCCTGGCCCGCGTTATAGATGCTTACCAAGAGGGCAAGTGAATAAGCTGCGTGCATCCCTCCATGCCTGGAACTGTGCAGCTCTGTTCTCCTCCAGACTGACTTTGCAGATGCTTGCCAAGAGGGCGGGTGAATAAGCTGCCTGAATCCCTCCCTAGCCGAAACTCTGGAGCTCTGTTCTCTTCCTGGCTCCTGTCACAGACACTTATCAACTGGGGGGAGGGCGTGAACAATCAGCCTGAATCACTCCATGGCAGGAGCTCTGGAGCTCTGTTCTCCTCCTGGATGACTTTGCAGATGCTTACCAAGAGGGTGGGTGAATAGTCTGCCTGAATCCCTCCCTAGCTGAAATTCTGGAGCTCTGTTCTCTTCCTGGCCATGTTACAGACACTTATCAAGTGGGGGGGGGGAGTTGAATAATCGGCCTCAATCCCTCCATGGCAGGAGCTCTTGAGCTCTGTTCTCTTCCTGGCCGGCATTTCAGAGGCTACCAAGAGGGCGGGTGTACAAGCTGCCTGAATGCCTCCAGACAGGAACTCTGGAGCTCTGTTCTCTTCCTCACAGGTGTTACAGACACTTACCAAGAGGGGGTGTGAATAATCTGACTGAATCCCTCCCTGGCAGTCACTCTGGAGCTCTGTTCTCCTCCTGGCCCGTGTTACAGACACTTACCAAGAGGGAGGGTGCCTGAACCCCTCCAGGGCCGCAAATCTGGAGCTCTCTTGTCTTCCTGTCCCGTGTTACAGACACTTAGGAAGAGGGGCACTGAATAATCTGCCTGAATCCCTCCATGGCCATAACTCTGGAGCTCTGTTCTCTTCCTAGCACGCGTTGCAGACTCTTACCAAGAGGATGGGTGAATAAGTTGCCTGAATCCCTCCATGGCAGGAGTTCTAGAACTCTGTTCTCCTTCAGGCCGGCTTTCCAGACTCTTACCAAAAGGGCAGGCGAATAAGCTGCCTGAATCCCTCCATAGCCGGAACTCTGGAGCTCTGTTCTCTTCCTTGCTCGTGTTACAGAAGTTTACCAAGAGGGTCGGGGGTTAATAAGCTCCCTGAATCTCTCCATGGCAGGAGCTCTGGAGCTCTGTGGGCTTCCTGGCCGGGATTGTAGATGCTTACGAAGAGGGTGGGTGAATAAACTGCCTTAATCCCTCCATAACTGGAACTCTGGAACTCTGTTGTCTTCCTTGCCCATGTTACAGATGCTTACCAAGGGTGGGGGGGGGTGAATAAGCTCCCTGAATCCCTCCATGACAGGAACTCTGGAGCTCTCTTGTTCTCCTGGCCCCAGTTGCAGAGGCTTACCAAGATGGCAGATGTATAAGCTGCCTGAATCCCTCCATGGCTGGCACTGTGGAGCTCTGTTCTCCTCCTGGCCCGCGGTACAGACACTTACCAAGGGGGGAGGGTTGAATAATCTGCCTGAATCCCTCCATGGCCGTACCTCTGGAGCTCTGTTCTCTTCCTTGCCCGTTTTACAGACCCTTACCAATAGGGTGGGTGAATAAGCTGCCTGAATCCCTCCATGGCAGGAAATGTAGAGCTCTGTTCTCCTGGCCTGAGTTACAGATGCTTACCAAGAGTGTGGGTGAACAAGCTGCCTGAATCCCTCCATGGTCGTATCTGTGGACAAAAAAGAATAAAATTTAAAAAGTTTCTTTTCTGTTTAGACCAACAGAAAGTTTCTGCCATTCAGTGCAAGCTTGAAAAGCACTATTTCATACTAAGTATTTCCTAGTAGAAATGAGTACATATCTCGTTATCTACTCCCCTGTTCCATTGTAAATCTTTATACAAATACCATATTTTGATTAATTGTATCTTGCTTTGAAAATAGAAAACCTAAGATATAATTATTTAACTAATTAAATTATACATTTTCCAATCATGTAAGCCAAATGTTGTTTCCACACAGTATTGAGACATATCTTTGAGTGTATTTTAAGTGTTGTTTTTGAACTCTAATATGCTGAGGTCATTTCAACAAGGTTATTTGCTGTAATCTACATTTACTGTTGCCAAACAGGAATATTTCATTAAGACTTATATCAAATAATTATATAAAGCAACATGCAGTCAATAGATAAAGTAATGAATTCCTAAAACAGGAATATTTCATTAAAATCATATGAAATAATTATATTTAGCAACACACAGAGAGCAGACAGATATACACTAGATATATAATATGATATTATAGGTAACCATATCAGTAAAAGAAGAAACCTAACCTATGTATCTCTTTCTCAAAAGAAAAAATGAAAAATTGTTTATCTGATTTTTATTATAAAATTAAAGACCTAGATGAGTTAAAAGAATTTGGAAAAAGTACCAGAGTGGAAAGCTCATGTTATTTGGTTTCAAAATACATTATGAGACATAGTTGATCCTGATTATGTAGCATAGGCACGAGGACAGACATTTAGGTAAGTGGAGAATAATGTTTCTAGAAATTACATATATGCTAAGAATAAGTTACTGAACCAAATATAGTACATTCAACAAAATATTAAAAATATTGGACATACTTGAACAAATGAATCATTTTTAAATTTGTAACAATTATGAGTTGTCAGTATTTGATCCTGTTATCTGTAGGGTACAGTAATAACCATATCAATTTTTGAAGAGCTCTTCACATGATTTTGTTACTCTACCATCTTGTCTGAAATCTTTGTGTCCACACAAAGGCAGTTTCCAAATTTCTTGTACACTATGCAGTGTTCTTTGTTTAATAAAGAAAGATACAAACCTCCCATCATGTGCTTTCTTTACTCAGCAATGGTAAAAATGTTTAGTTGATGATGTTATTTCCAGTATCAGAGAAGTCTATAAAGAGGATGTATGGGTTTACATTTTTAAAATTACTGTAAAAAACATATTCACATTAACTCCCTCCAGAATGCCCCTGCTCTTTTAAAATACACTTATTTCATCATTTTTGTCACTCTGTGAAGCAGTTCTGAGCGTTTTCTTTCCTGACTGTCTTTTGTTGCACTGTGATGGCTGCCTTGATGTCCTGAATCAGTTCAAAACGTTTAATGTCATGGCCATTATGACTGAGGGGGAGCCAGAACTTGCACAGTGCCTGATGCAGTGGGTGAAGTGGATGAGTACATACTATAGTGCTTTCGTTAGCTCCTCTCTGTTGGATGGCAGTGTTATTGTATTTTTTTGTTTGTTTGTTTTTAGGTCCTGGGGATTGAACTCATGACCTGCACCATATCTTGTAAAGACATTCAAAAATAAGACATCCAGAACTGTTTCAGAATGTGACCACGAGTGGATAAGTGCTTTTGCGAAGAATATTTTGATGGTGACTAGTGAGAATGTCTTTTTCTTTAACAAATTTTTAATTTTAAATGTTCATCACAGTGTTCAGTACATCCTTGTATTTGAATTATTACTTGGCCTACTATCTGAAATTGTTTGCATTATTCCTTGACTTTTACAAATTTCTGTTCTCTAAAAAGAACATAATGATCTTCCTTCAAAGTTCAAAAACTTTCTTGTGATTATATGCAACATTTTATAAGACACTTTACCATAATTTTGTATCAATATAATTGTTAAAATTAAAACATAATTAGAATTACGAGATGATTATATGTTTAAAGGTTTTTTTATGCTATGATTTTCCAACTTTGCTTAGGAAATTTGAGATTTATACTCCTAAAAGAATTCTAAGTTGGTGCCTTTGTTTCCACCCATTCAAATATCAAATGTGACCATGATTTCTTTTCCCCAATTGACAAATATAAGTGGTATTTTTTTACATGTGGAATATTGGCAATTTCTCATAACACAAAATGCAGTCATCGATTTTTAGAGATTCTTGAATCTTGTATTTGAATTGTTGTCATTTCATTGGTACATTTGTCATTCTTTTTTAGTTTTATCCCTGAAATATAAATGCATTTTCACAAAATTTAACATTATGAATAAGTCTGATGTGCAAAAGTATAATTAGTATAATCAACTTTGTAATTCTATAGCTGTATAGTTTTATTTGTAGACATGTAAGTTTTTCCATAAGCTATATTACATATAAATATAAATATAACATATATTTTATAAAATATATTAGTTCGCAACTTTTGAAGATTGCTTGAACTTATTTGTTAGGAATTATTAGATAGGAATTTCTCTAAAGGAAAATTCTAGGTAACTGTTAAGAAAATTTCAAGAATTTATGAAGCAAATTTGTTTTCTAAAATATATACTTTCAATATTTCTAGTCTCCCAATTTCTCATGAAAACAAAAAAGTTAATAAAGCATAAAAAATCATCTCCCTACTGTGTTTAAAAGTCAGAGTCACATTGAACAGTATTCTACTTAATTTCATAAAATGGCTAACTCAGTTTATAAATAGCAAATAAACAATTTCTTCCAACAGGATAAATGAATAGACTACAATGTCATTTCATTATGTAAAAATAAATTCATCATACTGATGACTTATCTTCACCAAAAAGTGAGTTTCTAAATAGTCCAGAGAAAAATAATATATTATATTAACGTATATTTTGTATAACTTACACGTTAAAATATTTAAGTTGACTCCCTATAGTTTTAGAATTAGCAATGTATTGATATCATTCAAACACTTAAAAAGGATGGTTATATTTAATAACATTTAAGTGTAAGTATGATAAATCTGATTTAGGGTAAAAAATCAAAGTCTAATGTTCATTCTAAATTTCCTTCTGCCCTTAATTTATTAGAGGATTATGAATTATATAACATTTTTCCTATAAAAATGGAAGAACTTTACTGTATTATCTCCAAACTATATCTAATACTACACTATTATTTGTTCTCAATTTTAGAGTTAATCCCTGTGATGGTTTATGACTGTGGCCCCCAGGCCTCATGAATTTGCACTGTGCATTTGTGATTAGTTCATTATCTAGTGCTTGATGGTGTCAGTGCTACACCCACATAGGGGTGGAACCAGGATGTAATGTAATGGCAAGAAGAAGGTGTGTCTCACTCTTTTGCTGGTGTCTGCCTTGCTGTTTGCAGCTGCCATGAACTGCGGCCCTGCCATGCCACACTGCTTTGGAGCCAACTGAGTATGGACTGAAACCTCCAAAAACTGTAAGAAATACACCTTTCCTTTCTTAACCTGGTGCATCAGGTATTTTGTTTCAGTGATGAGTAAAAAGTAGCTAAGACAATCCCTAAAACTGACCACATTATTTTTAGTATTTAACACATTCTTTAATTTAATGTAATATTTAAAATGCTTATGTGCCTGCCAGGTTCTTTTTTAATCAACTGTCAATTTTCCACATCAGTTTTATAGATGAATGAGTGATTCTCCATAAATTATATAGCTATCAAAGGTAAAGCCAAGACTTCTAACTACAGATCCTTGCAATATTCAAATGCAGTATAGAGAATTTACTTTTTAGAGATTGTGCATAATGCAAACATTTTAACTTTAAGTGTCTTCACTAATGGTGAAACAATAATAACACTGGAATTAGATACTAAAGTAGCTGATCTAGTTTTACATTGAAATTAATTATTTATAGGATCACAATGCTTAATTTTATTGGCTAGAAAAGGTCAGTGACCATCTAATTTTTCATATTATCTTGGTTATTAGAGGAATGTATTTGCTCTGCACTCAGAGCTCATTAAAGATGTATAATCTAAAATTTTGACCTTCAATATTTATCCTCTGATCCTGAGCATATTGTTCCTTTTGCGTTTTCTTTTCAGAAGAAGATGAAAAAGAATTCTTGTTCTTTAAAGATCAGACAGCTTTTTCAAACAAATACTAATATCATTAATAGTGAAGCATTAGAGTGAAGTATCATGTGTTCAAATTTTTGAGACCAAGTTTAACTTGGGAAGTTAAAGAGAGTCTGACAGCCCTCTTACTATAATTGTAGCAGGGAGTACTCATTATGTCTACCAAATTTACCCCAAATTCTTATGTATGAGAAGCTTTTCAATTCATTGGCACAATGTGTAAATCATCATTGTAGCCAACTCATTCTTTCAGCCAATTTAGAATATGTACAGGGTAACATATATTTTTCTAAGCTCCAAAGTTACAGCATACTTTTAATTCAGAGACATAGCCCCTGTGTTAATGTTGGAAGATGCACTGACCAGACAGTTTTAAATAATATAAAAATGAAATTGTGTGACAAATTGAATGTACAAGTTGTTGCATAAGTGAAAAAATACAAAAGCAACAAAAGTTCTGAGTATTTACTCACATCTTTTTCCATGATACAAAGATATTATTGCAGTCAACTTACATCAGAAGCAAAATTAGTTGAGTAAGATAACATAGGCCGGGGACTGGGGATTTAGCTCAGCGGCATAAGCGCCTGCCTTGCAAGCAGGCAGTCGTGAGTTCGATCCCTGGTACCGATAAAAATGAAAAAGACCAAAAAAAAAAAAAAAAAAAAGATAACATAGGCCAAATACAAATGTCCTTGTTCAGGCTGATGCTGTACTGAGGAGAGGCTTGTATCTATCCTCTCAACACACTAATATCACTTCCTTTGGATGCTGATTAGAAGTGGGACTCCTGGATCACATAATAGTTCTATTTTAAGTAATTTCTATGAAATTCCATATTGTTTCTATGATGGTTACACGACTCACATAATTTAAATTGCCACCAACAGGATGTAAGTATTCCTTTTCTCCCACACTTGCTTTTTTCTTTTTGATAACAGGCATCCTAGCAGGAAGGAGGGGATATTTCACTGAGGATTTTATTTACCTTTTCTAGATAACTGGTGCTGGTAACTGTTTTTTTCACATACATGTTGGTAACATTTATGCCTTCTTTTGAGAAATATCTATTTCAATTTTTATGCATTTAGAGTGGACTCCTTTCTTGCTGTAGATTTATTTGAATTTCTCACATATTTTGGATTTCAACTTCTTGTCTATGTGTGCTTGAAAATATTTTACCCCTTATCCTAGAATATCTTATCATTCTATTGATTGTGTCTTTTTCTGTGCAGAAGCTATTTAGTTTGATGCAATACCATTTGTCTAATTTTGTTTTTGTGGCCTATGCTTTTGGTACCACATAAAAAATTTACATCAGATTTGTCTCTCCTGTGAGAACAGAGAAAGCCTGGGAAACACAGATGCAATAAAGAAAAATGTGCTTGTGAAAGAATCCAAGAGATAGCTTGTGAAAAGATGAGGAAAATTGGTGAGCACTTGCTATTTCAGTCAAATCTAAAAGTTTTAAGCAACAGCTTCTACTAATTTTTGTTGTTGTTTCTACAGTTGTTTGAGCAAATAGAAATAACCAGTAACTCTCCCTACATTAGCATAAAACATATCTGACACTGATGTAAGAAAAGCAAGATGATTTCGTTAGCAGTTTTATTCAGACATCTCTCATCAGACTTTCTGCTCAGGTTGCCATAAGACAGCACCACAGGCTGGTGTCTCAAGCCACTGAAATGTATTTTATGACATTTTTGGAGACAGGAAAACTAAGTCAAAATGCCAACGCAGCCTGTTTCTGGAGCAGCCTTCCTTCTGGATGTGGATGTGTGGAGGGCTATGTCTTTGCTGTGTCCTCGCATGGCTTTCCCTCTGTGCAAATCCACTAATGTCTCTTTTTGTTCTTTTTTGTATTTATTAGTCCAATTTTAATTTTTATTATTTTGAAGGTAGCAAAATACAACCGAACAAGACAGAGCAAAGCCAACTGAGACAGTGCAGTGAAACTGGTACAGAAAATCACAGCAGGTTACTGGGATAACAGTAATAGGTACCATACTATATCTCACTATCTTCACAATAGTTGTCCATTCCATCAGGTATAGAAAAATCAAACCAAATACAGAACATTATAGAACTTACCAAAACAGAATATTGACTAGAGCAATATAATTAATCAGAACAAAGCAAAACAGTGATAACAATATTTGCCTTCAAAGAGATGGTAAAAGGAAATCCCCTCTATTTGCTATATTGCATATGGTCAAGCTCCTTACCAAATAGGAGCCAGAGTTCTTTTTGTTCTCATAAGAACATGAATTCTGTGATCTCCAAACTCTATCCTTATGGTTTAGTTTCACATTACTTCCTTGAAGAACTTATTTGCAAGTGTAGTTCCTTTTTTAACAGAAATTTAGGGATGTAACGTAGTACATAATTGACATTGAGTTCAGGAGACATGGAGAAATAAAGAGATGAGAAACAGAGATTTCTGTGGAGTCAGTCACATATATAAGGGACTATTACAGAAGACTTGAAGAGGGACATGATTACTTTTATAAAATCAGGGCAGAATCTACAGGGAAAAGAGGCTGCAGGGCCCTAAGGAATGATACTGTGAGGAGTGAAGTTTTGACATAGAGCTTTAAACAGAAGTAAGGCTCTGGTGGGACTGGAGATGAAAGTCTTCAAATTCATATGACAGTTTTGTAGGGGGCTGAAGTATAATTTTTAGGAAAATAAGTCTGGTATAAAATGAAAAGCTTTTCTGCTGGGAATATATAGACAGCTGTTACTTGCTTCATAGATAAGGAGAAAAGATTGGAAGACAAATTGGAAAAATTATGAAGGAAATGAATTTAAAACAGCAATAGATGAAGAAATAAATGCTAGAAGATTATCACACAGAACAAAAATCAAAAATAGACACTGTACATTAGATGAATTACATGTTATTATAAATAGAATTTTATCTCTGAAACATTTTGCCTCACTGTGCTTAAGAAAAAATGATCTCATAATGTACCATACAGCATTCTAGTTCCAGACATTATTTGAATTGTCACACAATTAATTTATACCATAAATATTGGCAATTATTTATAGATAAATTATCTAAAATATGCTACTTTTGATTAAGGAAATCAATTCAATTTCTCTTCATTATTCATTGTGATATTTTATATATTTCTTTTTTACAAAAGAGCTCTCATCGATGATTTCTAAACTGAAAATAAAAGAGCATATAAAGTCTCAGTATAAATGTACATATTCTCATGCCACATTTCTTGGTTTTTCAGCTCAAAATACTTGGTTGTGATAGAAAAAATTTCTGAAGAATTGAGAAAAATATTTCTAGGTCTTGTATTGACTGTGTGTTGAAAGAAATGAATAGTAAATAAATAGTAGTACTTGTTTTGAAAATAACATCATCAATTATATATAAGAATAAACAAATAAACCAGGAATAAATAGTATCTGTTTCATGCTAGAAACTAAAGTATCCTCTAATTAAAAATGTTAATAATATATAGCTAACCCTGAGCCATCTATTGGAAAAATAATTGTGATTGAAATTTCAGTTAATTCAAAATAATAAATTTAAGTATCAATTTAAAATAGGCTAAAATAGAAAATTTATGCTGTAAGAAACTATTGATAGGCCTTTATAAACAAAGATAATCTTATTCAGTTCTTTACTTTGTTACATGAAAATGTTGGTATTTAAACCAGGTGTGGTGGCACCCTCCTGTAATCCCAGCACTCTGGAAAATGAGGTAGGATGATTGTTGCAAGTTTGAGACAAGCCTAGGATACAAAGTGAGCTCAAGGCCAGCCTGAACTGCATAGTGAGACCCTATCTCAAAAAAAAAAAAAAAGAGAGAGAGAGAGAAATAAAAACTTGGTGTTTAGTAATTTGCAGTTTAACTTAATTAAAGCTGAATTAGAATTCAAATTACCAAACTTAAATCCAATTTTTCTTGCTAAAAATTTTTGCCTCAAACATGTTTTCAGAAACAACATAAACTTAATTCATACTAAATACTCATTTTCATGCTCAATACCAAAGATATAAATATGAGCATAAATGAAGTCTTGCTTTTAAATAGTTCATTGTCTAGAGTGTACTATAGACAATGAAGTGAACTGTTGGGAGCCGCTGAAACAGGAAACTGAACACACATGCAGGGTGGCCGCACAGCCAGAGAAGGATAAGATAATGGCTGGCTCCAACTCCAGTTAACTAAACAAAGACTGTAGCTGCAGACATTTCACCCCCATAGTGAAATGCAACAGTCAGATCTTCTCTTAAGATACTTATATTTGTTAATGTAATTTGTTACTTGCACAGTCCTTGAGCCACTCCCAAGGTCTGCTCAGTTTTCTGCATTTTCCAATCTAATCCCCTAAATAAATACTGGCCATCCAGAGACATCTCCTGGCTTAGCCACCAGAGTCCCCCAACTCTGTAGAGGGGTTTAATCCCTCTACAGAGGGATTATCTCATTTACTTAAGCCTTTATTATACACTCCTTTGGGAAATCAGGGATCTAGGCATCTCCCCAGTAGTGAACAGTCACACCAAGAGCTCGGACCATGCAAGATCAGCAGAAGAAAAGTCATTTCAGACTTGCTGCATGATGGGTGGCACCATGACATAGCAATGAATGCACTAGGATTGTCACCCCAGAGACTGTGGTGAGGGTAGAGTGAGAAGAAAACTCATTTTGTTGGGCTCATCCTCAAAACCCAGGAAATCCTTCACATCTTTTTCTATTTAATTTGCTAAGAAAGTAGGTAATAATGTTTTATAAAATAAAAGAAGACAAAGGGGTGCTGGGGATTTAGCTCAGCAACATAAGCTCCTGCCTGGCAAGCATGAGGTCATGAGTTCGATTCCCAGTACCAGAAAAAAAAAAGTAGAAGAAGAAAAGAGATGATGTTTCATAACGTCTAACCCAGGCCTTTTCATGCTTAAGTACAATTTGCCTTGTCCTGATTCTGTTACTGTGAGTCTGTCACAAGCTCAGCTACTGGTCTTTGCCTTCTCACTTCTCCTCCTCTTTGATGTCTAAGTTCATGTGTGCTGATCTCTGTCTAAGCAATGAGACTCCACTTCTGCCTCCATTCATCACCATAGGCCACTTTCAAGAAGAGGAGGCACTGAGTATGGTTTGTCGGCATGGGAGGATCTCCCTATGACAACAGTCTTCTTATTTCTGTGCATCCCCTCCCCATTGTAAAGCTGTGGCCTTCGGGGTTCTCATATGTAGTGGTCAGAAGAATAAAACAAAATTTCCAGTAACCTTTGTTGACTAGCCTTTTCCCTTTGTACGTGGTGAATCTCATGAACTTCACTTGTAATTACACTTTGTGACAAAAGGAAGATTGTGCAGTAGGGATTGATCTGTTGAAATCAATGGACCGCCTAAAAGCAGTCTTTTCTGCTTGGAGCAGAAGAGGACTTAAAGGGACTGACTGGGGTGACAGGTACTTGATATCAGGCAACTTCTCTGTTTCTGAGATGGAGAGAATTGAATGACAGAGACCTGAGAGTTTTCTCTAGGATCTGAGAGATGTGCCTTATTTCCAGGAGGTAAGGAAACAGGCACACTGTACTAAAATGGCAAGGACATAAATCCTTCCTGCAATGAATGAGCATGGAAGAAGACTCCAAGTTCAGATCAAAACTAAGAACAATCCTTATAGGAGAGAACCTATGAATGCAATGCCTGGACATCTGACCTGCACATTTTATAAAATAATACATTCCTGTTAAAAATCAATAAATTTGAAGTAATGTTTTAAAGAAATAAATAAAAATTAGGACCTCAAGTTACCTACATGCACCATTCAATGTGTGAAAACTCTGAACTGATATTACCAGCTGAGACTTCTTTAATTTATGCCTACCTTCTTTAATTTAATTTATGATGCTGGGCAGATTTGGGGCGGCTGCATCCACCTCCCTGCGGGTGTGGAGGACTGTGGATATCTCAACAAGCAGGGGAGCATCACAGGTTCCAGAGGCCCCACGGCCTGTGGTAAGTGCTCAGTGCACTCTGCCCAAAGCCCAGACTGTTCGGGACCCTCCAGGCTTCTGGGTGCAGTGAAGTGGATAAGTGAGTTTGAGGCATCGACATCTGCCTCCCCAACCGGCTGCGCTTGGAGATCTGTGGAGCTTCCAACAAGCAGGTGGGCACAGTGTCCCTGAAGCCCAGCTTATCTGGAACTATGGAGTTCTAAACAGGCAGAAGAGGGCTATTGGTTCTACAGGGCCACTGGCTTGGGGTAACTGGGTGCCAGAGTCTCAGGAGCTGTGAACATAGAAGGGGATTTCCAACAGACCCTGAGGAAGCTTTGAAATAACTCCTGAACCACAGAAATATAGGAAAATGACAAAACGAAAGACCAAATTACAACCTCAAACCTCCAGCCCATCTCAAGAAACCCTAGAAGCAATGTATATAGAAGAAAATATATGCCATTCACCTCAAATATCAGACATAATAGCGACTGAAATTAACAAGCAACTCCAGAAAGCTTTAAAGGAATTCAAACTCGAAATAAGCTCCCAGGTAAAAGAAGAAATGATAAAAGAAATGAAAGAGATTCTGAATATGTCTAACGAAAATGCAGTTAAAAAATTGGAGGAACTAAACAAAAAGATAGAATTCCTAGATGAGCAATATAAGAAACAAACAGAATACATAATACAGATGCAGAGAGATATACAGGAAAAAAAAATCTCCACTGAAAGTTGTAAAAATCGCCTCAATGAAAGTGAAGATAGAATTTCAGACCTTGAAGACAGGATTGCAGCTAGTGAACAGGAAAGGAAAGATCTTTTAAAAGACTTCTAGCACAAACAAGTCAAGAAGAGCATGGAGTGAAGTATTCCAGATCCTAAAGCAAAATGATTTCCAACCTAGACTGATGTATCTTGCAAAACTATCATTCAAAATTGATGGTGAAATATGATACTTCCATGACAAAGAACAGCTGAAGAACTTCATGAACACCAAACCAACCCTGCAAAAAATATTGAAAGACAGTTTAGACTCATAAAGGAAAAAACCACTGAGCAAAGCAGATAATTAAACACAACAGAAAGATAAAGATGCAACAGCAGAGAGATAACATGTCAACAATAAACCAGCATTTAACAGTAATAACCATTAATGTAAATGGTCTCAATGCACCAATCAAAAGAAACGGACTAGCAGAATGGATCAAGAAACAAAATCCAACCATATGCTGTTTAAAGGAAACCCATCTAACCCAGAAGGATACTCACAGACTGAAAGTCAAAGAATGGAAAACAATACCTCATGCAGCAGGAATCCAAAAAAAAAAAAAAAAAAAAAAAAGCAGGAGTAGCCATTCTGTTTGCAGACAATGTGAACTGTAAAAGAACAATGACCATTAAAGACAAAGAAGGTCACAACATACTCGTAAGGGAAAAACTCCAAGAGGAAGAGATAACTATCTTAAATATATATGCACCAAACTCCAGAGCACCCAGTTATATAAAACAACTATTAACAGAAATGAAAACTCAAATTATCAGTAACACAATTATAATAGGAGACCTTAATACACCATTGACACCAACCAGACAGAAAATGAACAAAGAAATAACAGAACTGAATCACACCTTGCGAACAAATGGATTTGATAGACATATACACAATGTTCCACCCAACAACATCAGAATACACATTCTTCTCAGCAGTACATGGATCATTCTCAAAAATAGACCATATATTAGCTCACAGAACATATTTTTAAAAATGGAAAAGAGTTGAAATCATCCCTTGCATGTTATCGGATCATAGCGATCTGAAATTAGAAATTAATGATAAAAGATACTGCAAAAATCCTGCAAACACATGGAAACTGAATAAGACACTCTTGAGTAATCAATGGGTCACAGAAGAAATTAAAGAAGAAATTCAACAATACCTAAAAGAAAATAAAAATGCAGATACAACTTACATGAATTTGTGAGATGCAATGAAAGCCATCCTCAGGAAAATTTATTGCACTGAGTTCCCACATTAGGAAAACAGAATGAATACAAATAAATAATTTGATGATACACCTCAAACAGCTGGAAAAAGAAGAGCAAGTCAAGCCCAAAGCCAAATGAAGAGAGGAAAGTATA